CTCATGGAATTGATCAATATTTTTATGATCGAAACACTGGTAGAGTGGAATTGTCTACTGGAGGTTGGCATAGAATCATCTTCGATATTGGCACTGGGTACAATAAGGATTTGTTTGAGATGACACCGGCAGTCTTTACTTACGGCGGGGAGCCTCCCAACAATCGTCCACAGGTTTGCAAGTGCCCTTCAGCGTTTCCTTATCCCCAAAACATTACAGCAATGCGTATACCAGAAAACGTCACTTTACCTGATACCACTTTAGGTTTGGCGCTGACAACTTAAACTAGAAGACTCTGGGTGTATCCGGGGGTATACTTGTGTAGGCCCATCGAGAAAGTTATCAAGATCAACAACGCCACGAATACTGTAATTCAGGAAATTTCTTTCAGTACCGCAAACGTTGTGTTTCAGTGTACAAAATTCAACGGAAGCTATAGGGATTGATTCTTGGTTGTGCAGAAATCAAGAATAAAGTTTTCTGCTTCATTTAGTTTTCTTTAGTGAATTTAAGATTTCCTTGAGTTCTGTTTCTTAGTGACTGGACTGTGAGTTTTCTGCGCAAACCTTTGGCATTATTTACCTAGATACAATGTAAGAGTACCCATGTGGATTTGGTAGCCCAGTCATTGGGGGGTATTTAAAATAAGTTCATGTAATTTCAGCCTAAGAAGCTTTCACAATAAGTGATATGTTTATCGATGTTAAAGCCTTCTCAAACGGCTCACTGGTGAAACAGCCAGTTTCTCTGTAAATTTGAGGCAATTTAGTATAGAGCAAGTGGTTTTAGCAAGCTCATTTCTTCAATCTGAGTGATTCGTACTTGAGAGAAACACTGAAAAGAGTCGGTGGCAAGCTCGGGCACGGCTTGTCAATACAACACAAGCTACGTGCAGCGAGCCAGTCAAAAATCGGTTTCACAAAATCAGTTTTCGAGAACCAATAAGCATGTAAAATGAAGACCTTGACGTGCTTGCAGTGAATTCAGGACACCAGTACAAAAGAACACATCTGGCAGGAAAGTATCAAGTGTTCTAGCTGATGAGTTGCGTGTCAATTTTTCGAAACCGTGGCAAGTAAGCCCAGTTTGAGGTACTCGACCTGGGGGCTGAAAACGTAGAATCAGAACTCTACTTCTACATGAGCTTTCACGTGCAGCGGCTCATCGTGCGTTCGTACCCACAGCCCATATAGTACGTTTATAGAATCAGCACACAGAAATTCGGAGTTCTGTATTCGTTCACGCAAATACAAGAGGGAAACCTAAGCAGAACAAGCTCGAGCAAAAAGTCTTCTTGTTTACAGGGCAAATGCCCCCGGCTACATTTCTTTGTGGCCCTTGGTGCTGGAATGACATTTTAATTCTGCGGAACCTACTATTTTCTGGCCCTTTTAGGGCCCTGTCATTCGACCGGGTCCAGCATGTCTCTATAATGGTTCTTCTAAAGAAAGAGTCCTGTCTCAGGTAGAAAGCCGAGCGGGCGCAGGAGCGCCACTCGAGGCCCCGATGTCAACGGCGTCCGCCAACACCACGAGGCCAGCATTTAGCGGCATGGGCACGAGCACGTCGCTGCGCGAGAAGCGAGATTTCAGGCCAGGGGCCGTGAGAGCGGCAGCGAAGCCAGGGGGCTCCACCACGCGGTGGAATTCGGGGAGGAGGGGGTCGCCGTCCGAGAGCGGCGCATCACTTCTTCTTGGTGAAGGAGGTGGACTTTCCCTGGGGCGCGAGTCTGCGGCCCTTGTATGGATGAGGCCCGTCGGTGTCCTGCTTAGAGAACGGCTCGTAGGAGCGCTTGTTGCGGCGGGTCTTTGGGTCGTCTTTCGCGAGCATCTTGGAGTCCAAGGCCAGGTAGTCGAACGCGGCCTCGTGCGGCACGGGCGTCTTCTGCCGCGGCACCCTGTTTTTCTTGGGCAACAAGGTGACGACCTCCTCCTGCGGCCGTGTGTCCACGGGCAGGGCCTCCTGGTCGGGCCCGGCGGCGGAGGGCAGGGCCACGGCGCGGGCTTCCGCCACAGGGGCCGGCAGCGGCGGGCGCGGCGCCAAAGGAGCGGCGGCGAGCGCGGCCACGGCGGCGCGCCGCTCGCCCAAGACGGCGGTCTCGACGGGCACAGGCGGCGAGCCGTTTGCAGGCACGCGCACGCCGAACGCGTGCTGGCGGAGCGCGTCCAGGAACACAACGGACGCGGCGGGCTCGGGACGCTGGGCGGGGAACCAGGCGCGGGCGTCGTCGGCAAGGAGATCGAACAGCTCGGCGACCTCGCGCGCGAGTGTGGGCGTGGCGAGCGGCAGCAGGGGCCCGGGGCTGGGGCCGGGGTGGCACGTCTGCGTCCGCGGTGCGGGCCATGTCGGCGTAGCCGGCCTGCACCAACAGCGTCAACAGGTCCGCGTTGTCGCGGAGGATCTTGCCGGAGCCCGCGAAGCAGGCGGCCACCAGCCGCGGGGCCACGGGCGGATCCAAGGAGCACAAGGCCACGAGCACGCGGGCGGGCATCACGTAGCGCGGCGACTCGTCGAGGGCGCGGGCCAAGGCGTCGCGCCACGCGAAGAGCGAGCGCACCAACGCGAGCCTGGACGCGGGGATGTTGTGCAGCGCGCTGAACGCGTCCGGGGACGCGGCGTCGTGGTGGAACAGGCCCGCGTTGTAGCCGGGCGGGCGGAAGCGCACGTACTCGAAGCGGCGGGCCGCGACGCGGCGCGAGTGGTCGAGCACGTCGTGCACGCGGCCCGCGGCCACGAGGCGGTTGCGGAGCTGGTCGTAGATGCTCAACAAGAAGTGGGTGTCTGCGCGGGCGTAGTCCACCATCTGCGGCGGGAGCGGGCGCACGCGCCAGTCCGCGAGCTGATACTTCTTCAGCGTGTGGAAGTGCGCGAGCGTCTCGAGGAGGTACGCGAGCGAGAGGCGGGGCAAGCCGAGCGCCCGCGCCGCGTGGTAGGTGTCAAAGAGCGACACCACGTAGAGCCCCAAGTCGCGCTGCAACCACACGATGTCCATGTTGGCGCCATGGAACACCTTGACGATGCGCGGGTCCGCGAACACGTCGTTGAGCGGCTGGAGCGCGTCGCGCAACGCGAGCGTGTCGACGAGCCAGTCGTGGTGGCGGTCGGAGATCTGCATCAAGCACGTGAGCCCGTAGTACGAGCGCAAATCGTGGTGCTCCACGTCCACGGCGATGTTCTGCGCGCGCTTCAACTGCGCCACCATGGCGGCCAACGCGGCGGGCGTGGCCACCCACGTGGCGGCGGACGAGGCCCAGTCCACCGGCGCCTGCACCTCTGCGTGCTGCTGCACGTGGGCCGGGTACGCGGACTGCGCGATTTCCTCCGCGTACGGCTGCGCGTATTGGGCCGGCGCGTCGGCGGGCGCCTGGAGCACGAGGCACTCGGCCAACGGGCGCATGGCGTGCGGCTTGGCCGCGAGCCGCGGCACGAACGGGTGGGCGTCCGAGTTGTCGACGGGCTCGCCGAAATGCACCTGCGGCTTCTCGGCCACGGCCGCGGACAGCGGCACGGGCGCGGCGTCGTCCAAGCGCATGCCGTGCGGCCCGCCCGGCGGCTGTTTGGTGGCGTCCATGGCCTGGTCCGCGCGGTCAAAGAGCACGTCAAGCGCGTCCGAGACCTGTTTCCACAGGCCGTCGCTGGCGGCGGGCGTCTCGCCGAACGGCAACGTGGGCGCGTCCGCGGGTGCGGTGGCGTCGGGCGCGAGGAGCCGGTTGGCGAGGTCCAAGAGCCGCTGGCCCGACGCGGCGAAGCGGAGGCCCGTTTTGTGGTCGATGGACCGGTGGAACTGGATGTCTTTGGCCGCGAGGGCAGACGCCGCGCGGACGGCCGCCACGGCGTGCGGGAGCACGTGCTGGTAGGGGTCGGGCATGGCGGGGCGCGGGCGAGGGTTTGCTTATGTTTTGGGGCGCAAACGAGGGGGTTTTGTGGGCGGCGGCGGCAGCTAAAGAGAGGTGCAAACGGGGGTTTGGAGTGCTGGGAGGACGGGGCCATGTCTTTTGCGGCGCTGTGTGCAGGCGCGCGCGCTCTTTTTGCCTGGGGCCCGGTGCGATGAGCTGCGCGGCCGCGGGCCGGGCTGGTTTTTCTCTTCCTGCTGGTTCTTGATTTGACCTGGAATATCTACGGCACGAGCTCGGAACATATTGGATTGTGATTCAGCGACCTGTGTTTGAAGCTTTCTTGGAACAGAAATTATTTGGAAGACTTATTGGAGACTTGGAAGACATATTTGAGGACCCGGAAGACTAATTTGAAGACTCGGAAGACATATTTGAAGACTCTTGCATCACTCACTTAAAGATTCTTGCAACATCCAAAGACTTGCAATATCCAAAGACTCTCGGCTCTTTTCACACATCTGTGACCCCGCACCTCTCGTTCACACAGAGACCATCCCAAAACAGCCCTCGCCAGACATGAGCCACACGTGCGTCAGCTGTGCGCTCGAGTTCCCCGACGCCCCCGCCCAGCGGGCCCACATGAAACTGGACTGGCATCGCTACAACTTGAAGCGCCGCGTGGCACAGCTCCCCGCCATCAGCGAGGCCGTGTTTGTGGACAAAATCGCGCAGATGGCCGCCGACGACGAGCTGTCGGAGGACGTCCGTGCCGCCAAGGCCGCACGCAAACAGGTCACCAAGAAGGACGTGCGGCGCCAGCAGAAAGAGGCCTTGCAGGCGCAGCGCCGCGAGCTTCTTGCGGCCCGCGAGCGGCTCCAGGACCAGTTCGGGCTGCTCCGCGTGGCGGCCTCTGCAAGCTTGTCTGAGGGGCCCAACGACTTGTCTAAAGAGGACAGCGACTTGCCTAAAGAGACCAGCGACCTGTCTAAAGAACCCAAAGACTTGTCTAAAGAACCC